CCGTCCCTCCCTCTATCTCAGTTTTTCTCCCTCCATGCTTTTCTTCACGCCTCCCTTCCAATCGCCTTTTCCTATATCATCAGCAACGAGGCGAAATGTCCTTCAGTGTCATGTTTCTTCGGTGTGTGAACTGTCCGTGTGTCATTTCATGCCACCCGTAGCATTCCCTCCCTTCATGTGCTGGGCTCCGAACAGCACCATTATCGACTGCAGGGGTGTGGAAGGTGCATGAATATGACATATGATCCATCTTACATCAACACATCCGCTGAGTGATGCACCTCGGCTGCAGAAGGAGACAACCCACAGACAGTGGCAAAAACTACTTCCTCCGCTTTGCCATCCGAATTGCCCAGCCCACCAATGACCATTCGTTTGCGTATTGACGCCGCATGGATGCAGGACCGGCTGCTGTGCAGCGCGTCTTCCTCTCAGGCGTGGGAGTCCTGGCACCCTCCCTGACGAAGCTGTCATATGCATTCGTGTATGTCATCACTCGTATCACAGCTACATGACGATCGCAGCGCCTCGCGAGTGTGCTTGCGGGCCCGGGATTCGCTGTCGAGTTGCTCTCCCGGCCGTTTGCAAACACTGTGGCCTTGCGGGCTTAGCTCACTCAGCCTCTTCATTTGCCTTCGATGATCCCGTCAGTTAGCACTCGGGTGCGTAGCCTCACAGAAACCCATTGTGGTCACTCACTACCCCTCATCATGCAAAACACGATGCGACTCTGCTGTTCAGGCGAGGCGATGGCCTCCGACTTCTTGCTGTTGGCCCTCTGCCAGATCTGCTTCCATCCGCTTGTCGAGCGTACCAGCTCTCGTCTGCCTCGTTATGATGCGTTCAAGAACGGTCCCCCCTTCTATCAACTGGGTCGGTTCGTGGTGATGGTCCTGGGCGTCCCACCTTCACCTTCCAGCATCATCGCATCGCCACCAGAACAACCATACATGGTGAGCACCACCAATCACACTCAGTATCAGGAGATCTGTGCGCTCAAGTCGCCCTCTGTCTGTACGTGTGCTGTTTCAGGGCTCTTCGGAGCTGGGATTCACATTCGCCTTGTTACTCGAGTGCCTACAAGCCTGTCCAACGCAATGGCATCAAGGACCGAGCGTCCAAGCGATACAGCACCAAGGGGAGGTGATCAACGTGATGGCTGGGCGAGCTTCATGCTACCGAGGCGAAGTAGTTTCCCAGCAGCAGACGCGGCTCCAGCACCGACGAAGTGGTGTGAAATCGCGCGTCAGATCACCGACGACCCCCAGGGAGTGCCGCCCTTCTTCTCTTCCCGTCTTCCATCATGGTGACTGACATGGTTGGTACACCGAATCTCCATCGTGGCCACAGTCGGACGGCCTCTATCCGACTGCACGTGTGGCTTGATGTGGCTGCCACTGTCATCTCCTGAGCGTGCTCACTCCCACATGACACGTAAGCACATACACGCACATGCACAAACACGTACACGAACACGGACATGAACACATACATGAACACGTATTCAGCTATTCGATTCTCAGCTGCGGGTGAGCTGGTGGTGGCGTGAGAGAAGGAGGGGCTACATGATTGGGCTCCAGTCTGATTGTGTTTGCCCCTGTTGTCGGTGGTGTAGGTCTGTGTCCGCGCTGCCGTCTGGCGCCTCGGACGTACTGCTGCAATTCTCGACAGTCTCGCCATCGGTGGCCTTTCTTCTCGCACCAATCACAGTAGCCGTCAAAGGGCCGCTGTGTCGGCACGTCGCCCCTGTTTCTGTCCCACGGTGGGCGTCTCGCCCCTTGTGTAGGTGGTTTGGATGGGCCATTTTGCATCTCCTTGATGCTCTCGATG